TAATTTATAATTAATTATATCTAATTTATAATTATTTTTGCTATACGTTTGATAAGTTATTCTTGACAAAGTATGCAAAAATAAATGTGGCACATTTTTTTTTTTTCAATAAAAAAAAATCTATTAAGGAGTAAATCTAGTAGGGAGAGAATATAAGTTGTTCTTTTTCATTTAAAAAATTATAAAGATATTTTTTAAAGAAGAATTTCGTACAGTGATCGAATCAACATAATGCTATTTGATTCTCTGCCTTTTTAGCCGGTATTCATAGTCAGTTCTTATATTTAAGACCGTCTTAAGTACAATCTTAAGATATCATATACCAATCACAGAGCCGTATTAGCATCTTAAGACATTACTTAAGACGGTCTTGAAATAAGAACGGACTAAGAATACTGGCCTTTGACTCCCCTTTCGCTGTCTTTCGCTGTTTTTCGGAAACACCGCATTGTAATTTTTATTCCTTCCAAATCATAGATGCATGATAAATATTATTTTACAAAATATATCATTGATTATTCAAATGCAATTACTATAAAATATTTAATAAATCACTATCTAATTTATAATTAATTATATCTAATTTATAATTATTTTTGCTATACGTTTGATAAGTTATTCTTGACAAAGTATGCAAAAATAAATGTGGCACATTTTTTTTTTTTCAATAAAAAAAAATCTATTAAGGAGTAAATCTAGTAGGGAGAGAATATAAGTTCTTTTCTCTCATTTAAAAAATTATAAAGATATTTTTCCGCAAGAATTTCATACAGTGATCGAATCAATATAATGCCATTTGATCCTCTACCTCCTTGACTCTCCCTTAGGCTGATGTAGGTCCAAGAAGTGATCGATCCATTACATTCTTCGCGGTCTCACGACTCGTAATATTCTTCCGCCGACGTGCCGGAAAGCAGTAAAATCCGAGGAATCTGGGTTCGATGGACCCAAGCTCGATTCTGACGTAATTCGCTTCCAGGTCGTCCACGGGTGGTAGATTTCATCTCCGTTCTCTCCAGGAGCGCGCGCGTATTACGTCGGTACAAATTTCACCGAAACCTGTTACGCCACCGACGAAGACGGGTTTACGACTGCAGACCTCGGCATCATCAAGTATCAACGATGTCATTGACTTTTGCTGACGCGTTCGCCAATTTGCATGCTGACAACGATAAGCGGCCCGCTTTTCCCACGTTCCACTCGCGATCGCGCCGATAACAAAATTTCGTCGTCGGCGTAATGAAAGCGTCCTTTCCACGACGATCCCGTCGATTCTCGAGTCGCGATGAATACACACGTGCGCTTAGAAATATCGTTGCAACGAGCCGTAAGTCCATTGGTAGTGACTCTTTACCCAGGCGATAAACTGTACATCTTTGCGTACTCTATCACTTCTTTGGATAGAGTACAAGACTATTTTTGTATAAATTTTTTTATCTTTGATACTAAACGGTAATAAAATAAAGAGAATCGCCTTAAAACTGTCATTGGACTATGTAAACTTTTTGGGCGTTGACAAAAAAGTTATAGACATTACGCGAGGGAGAGATGGATAATTCCGGCATGATCGGGAAAGCCTCTGTCACTAGCAAGAGCTTAGTCTCCTGATTATAGGAATCGTTTGCGAGAAGGAAGGATGACAGAGACGCGCGATGTGTTATCGGCGACCCGATTATGCCGCGCATACTGACGGGGCCAAAAAAAAAAAAAAAAAAA